AAAAAAAAAAAAAATCAGCAAAATCCAGATTGAAAATTTTTATAGGATAAAGAAATTGGTTTCTTCAACCAATAAACTAAAGAGAAAAAGAGAGAGAGAGAAAAGAGTGGGAATTAACTAACGTGGGCTTAAAAGACACGTAAGTGGTATCAATCTATTATAATGTATGGATCTTTCTTGGATCCTGATTCCAGTCAACTGTGGGGGGAAGAACACATATAAGAATTCCTGATAGTAAGAAATTTTTGTTAAGTTTTTTAGTAGTGATGTGGTGATGTGCTTATGTTTAAAAAAAGAATTATCTTTTAGAGACACATAATGAAATGTTTATGTATGAAATTATAAATAAACAGGATGGTGGTAGTTGGGAGGAGGGACTGGCCATGCTGATAATTGCTGCAACAAGGTGATGAGTACATGAAGATTCACTGCACCGTTACTCTGCTTTCATTACATGCTTGAAATCTTCCATAATAAAAAGCAAAAACAAAACAGACCTAAACCACTGAGACTTACTCTTCTTGGGGAAGAAGCTTCAAATAGTATCTACAACATTATGGGTATTTAGAAAAAACAATCTATATAGCAAAGTGAAAGCCACTTCAGGGGCCACAGGTCTAGAATTATATCCAGAGGCAATTCCCTTTTCTTCATGGTTCTGAGGCGTTTTAACATAAGCAATTGGAGGAAGGAAGTGTAAAATATAAACTCAAATTTCCATTAGTTTGATTAACATCTATAACAGAACAAGCAAAATATATGAACCACAACAACCACAAATATGATGTCACCAATCACAGTAACAGGTTTCCTTGGTTATTTTGACTAGGTTCTAAAAAATGACAGAAAAGTTTACACAGTTGGGGTTTTTCAGAGAACAAGATTTAATTTAGTCCTATATATAATATCTATCTATTTAGAGACAGGGTCTCACTCTGTCTCCCAGGATGGAGGGCAGTGGTGCAATCATAGCTCACTGCAACCTCAACCTCCTGGGCTCAAACAATCCTCCTGTCTCAGCCTCCTGAGTAGCTAGGACTATCTGTGTGCATCATCAAGCCCGGCTAATAATTTCCTACTATTTAAATTAAAGTAATTAAAATCAGAGCAATACAGAATTTATATACCTATAAGACCTCAAAATGAAGTTACATAATTCTACTATAGGTTCTATATCAGATTCATTATGTAATTATCAAACTGGTATGTAGACTTTACATGGTACTTTTTATGGAAGAGCTCAAATCCTTTCACAGGTAAAATTATCTTTCATTTTACTCAGAAAAAAAAGCAAATTATCCATTTTGTTTTTTTAAAAAGTAGTTATTGCTTTTTTTATGAACAAAGTTAGGGCCAGTTGCCGTGGCTCACGCCTAGCACTTTGGGAGGCTGAGGTGGTAGGATCGCTTAAGGCCAAAGAGTTCAAGACCAGCCTGAGCAACATATTGACACCCTGTCTCTACAAAAAATAGAAAATTAGCTGAGTATGGTGGCATGTACCTGTAGTCCCAGCTACTTGGGAGGCTGAGGTAGGAGGATCACTTGAGCCCAGGAGTTTGAGGTTGCAGTGAGGTATGATGATGTCACTGTGCTCTACCTGGTGCAACAGAGCAAGACCCTATCTCAAATAAAAAAGTTATGGCTGGGCATGGTGGCTCACGTCTATAATCCTAGCTCCCTAGGAGGCTGAGGCGGGCGGATCATTTGAGCTCAGGAGTTCGAGACCAGCCTGAGCAAGAGCAAGACCCCGTCTCTACTAAAACAATAGAAAGAAATTAGCTGGGCAACTAAAAATATATATAGAAAAAATTAGCCAGGCATGGTGGCGCATGCCTGTAGTCCTAGCTACTAAGGAGGCTGAGGCAGTAGGATTGCTTGAGCCCAGGAGTTTGAGGTTGCTATGAGCTAGCCTGACACCATGGCACTCTAGCCTGGGCAACAGAGCGAGACTCTGTCT